GCAGCTGATGTTGTATGGTTTCTGATTCACTATAAGCAGGTACATAAAACCTTTCCTAAACTGGAAATTGGTGACAGTTGTGACTGGGTACAGAAAATAAGTTGGGTTTTTTATGGTTTTAGTCAAACTCCATAATGTTCTGTATGGTAACATACAACAATAAGTGATTTGTCTGTTTAAAATCCACCCTGACATTTTAAATATCCCACTAAACACAAACATCTCAACATTTTGAAAGACGCTGATTGTTGAGACATGTTGTAGCCCTGTTTATCCAGCTCCAGCCGTCAAGAGCCGGTGTCCTTCCAGTTTTAGATGCATCTCAAAGGGTCCAACTACTTCCTCAGCATGTCAAAGTTTAGCAGAGGCCTGCTAATGAACCATCATTCGATTTAGGTGTGTTGAACCAGGGAAACAACTAAAACATGTAGGATGCTGGCCCTTGAGGACTGATTTTGGACACCACTGCCTAATCAGTTTCAGTAGGTGTCAACTCTGAGTCTCCTGACCTCATTCCCTCTTATAATGAGTGCATGCTGTCAACGGCTCACACCTGTGTGAAGGAAGATGCTGGGAAACGTCCACTGCCTTGGCTCAGGAGCCCTGGCAGTCATGGACCCATTCACTTTTAAAAGTTTATAATCTATACCGCTCTTCTGGAAAAAGACTTAAATTTGCATGAGGCAGAAATCTAAATAAACAGTCTGATTTGAAAGTTTTTTGCTACTTTTAGTTTGACCAGCTGAAGACTCACCGACTTATGTTGAGAGAGCATGACTGCCACCCTTTGGGCAACAGCTGTCATAACATGTTTAGTTTTTATTTCACTCTCCATAAAAAGCAAGCACCTGGTACATTTATGGTCCAAATGTGAGGAGTTTTCTCATAACAACCTAATACAGTCGATATCTAACACCTGCATATCATTACCGATCACTGCATATAGTGTTTTTGGGGTTTTTTTCTGCTTTTAGTGTGAAATAACAGCTACTCTGATCTCGATGTTTATTATTTTCATAGAATATGCTAATTATTTCAGTCATTTCTCTAAAAAAAATTATTTGGTATTCTTGTGTCATGAAGCTTTTGGGCTTTAATGAGCCTGTTTGTCAGCATGGTTTTGTTTCCTATAATTGCCAACTACAACTCTTCTTATGAAGCTGCTGGCAAGGTCTTTATTTGCCATAACTGCTGTGTAATTGCCTCTAGAATCATTTAGCACTTATGAATATGAAAAAGTGTTTTCTTCTATCTAATTATGTGTACGGTGCATAAATTAGACTGTGAGTTTGCCCTGCATAAGTGCAGAAGATGTTAATATTTGCAAGAAATTAAGCACTTGTTTAACCATACATCATTGCTTATGATAGCAAAGTCTATTTACCAAACTAGAGCTTTTATTTCTGACTCTGTAGTTCAGAATATAGAGTTCATAAAAATCAAAACCGTTCTCAAAAAGCAAAGATTCAGACTGCAATTTTTGCCCCCAGATTTTTAAAACAATTTCATGTTCGAAAAATTAAAACAATATTTAAACAAAATGATTGTTTTTTTCTGTGCAAACTAGTTTCCTGATATGTTTTAGGCATTGTTTAGAGTTAGAGACAGAAAAGTGTTGGTTATCTGAAATGGAGTAGAGTGATGAAGGCTCATAGTTAGATATCCACAGTGTTTGCAAGGAGTTTAAAATGAAGTAAGAGAAAGCACAGAAATCCAAGATGCCACTTAAAGGGAAACTGTATTTTTTTACATTATGTTGAGACAGGTCTGTAGCTCTTCAAGAGCAAGAGGGCAGAAGGTCTTCAACAGATTACAGGAAGGTGCACTGACGTTGCTCTATATTGCTTTTTAACTCTACCATGGAACATGATGAATTTAAAAAGGCTAAGGCTAAGATACTGAATAGCAACTTAAAGCCATAATTATTAAAACAAACATCAGAAAATTTCTTTGAGTGCTATGAATGTAGACAGGTAAAGCTAGATTTCTGAAGTTATGTCAAATTTCATCGATATTATAATTGATTAATTGTTGACAAGAGGAAGCAGTCACTATCTGAGTATGAGTTCTTACTTCCTGGTTGTGGCGGTTGGGAATTTACTGACTGCTTCTTATGATTGAGGTGTCCAATGACAGTCTGGTGACTTTTTCTTGGAACGGCATAATCACATGACCAGGTAAATCCAATAAACTGCAAACAACTGTTCAATAAGGCCCAACCCTAAATGAAACTCAGCTGTAAATAAAAATCCAGAAAACAAGATAAGGAATGCAAACTTGTGATTCAGTCTAAGGTTAAATAAAAAGCTCATCTTCCTGCTTCATCACATATGCATAAACAGAATTTGGAATACGTGCAGGTGAGCAAAACCAAATGTTTCATAATAGGTCCAGTGTAGGCAAAGCAAGCCTTTCATAACAAGCAATAAATCAACAAATTGCGTGATAAATTAAAACTCAATCATTTCCATTTTGACCATCAATATATTTTGTAGGGGATTCTGTATACAAAGACATCTTAATCCATTTTATTTCTGGGTTTTGGTTGTGTGTGGTTTCATTCTTGTTTATTTTGTTCATGGTTGTCGTGTTTTATTTTGGATATTTAGATTACCTTCTTGGTTGCCTCTCTGAACCATGAGTGGCGTGTGAGCAAAGGTAAAAGACAGAAAATTGTTGGTTATCTGAAACCAACAATCAGATAACCAACAATTTGGCAGGTTTGTTATACACTTTCCATTCTGGGTTGGCCTCTAAAACCACAACTTTACTCTGATTACACTGTTTGCTTAATCAGGCGCTTTAAAATGTCTTTGCAGACCAGAATATGCTTGCCTGACTTGTACTCTTATTAAATGGAACACATTTTATATGTTATTAGTGAAAACATTTGAAAATCATGTATTATTCCAGTTCCAAATGTGCTGGTTTCCATCAGTCCATTACACAAAATCCCCAGTACTATCAAACATAATATTTGTAGATGTATTGTGACAATATGTGAAGTAGTTCAAAAGGTATGAATGTATGCAAGTCATCCAGAGGGAGAGAGAGCCAATGTTTAGAGAATCTTCTTATCTCAGAGGGAGCGTGGCAGGTAGATGCAGGGAGGACGTTGCAGCAGGGTAAATGATGGCCATATTGATCTCCAATGCTCCTTTATAGCCCTGTCATGTCAGTTTAGCACCTTGGCAACATTCGCTTTTAGAGCTACATCAATACCGAACTCTGGCACTCTGCAGCTGACAGCCAAAGAGAGATGGTTACAGAGAGAAAAAAAGTAAATAACTGCCTTTTCAAGGGCTCAAACACTTATCAGTCCAACTCTTAACAGCAAGGTGAAGACGCAACCACTACAGTAAGATGAGAAACTGATTGGAAGAGGTTAAATTTTTAACAGTTGAAAACTCAAATAACAGGAAGCTGCCAACTGCACCCTGATTACAGCATCACTCTGACATTTTGAATAGTTTTGCAGAGTAGCAGGCAACTGTTCTATCAACAGTTCTTAAAGACTAGTTCATAAAAACCGACACTGTTATATCACGAATAAGGGATCAAGATTAATGCTCAATTTTGGCAATGATCTCCACACATGCTCAGTTGAAAAATGCATTCATGATACTTTCAACTATTTTGGATATACTGAATTCTCCTGTCATTCTGGTCCTGAATTACTTAATTGCTTTAAAAAAAAAAAAAAAAAAAAAAAAAAAGCTGATCAGAAGGCCTTTTGTTCACTGTTTTAGTTCCCAGATGCAAGAATCACCCACACAAATCTTAAATGTTTAAGGTCATAAATAAACCTACCAGAACACTGGCTCTCACAGTTCTAGAGATCTAGTAGACCTAACGCTAACATGAGCTTTTATTGCAAACCGATCTTAGTTAGTCTGGCTATTAACCCTCAATTTAAAAATGTCATGCATCAAAACATATATGCCAGGTTATAATCGGGCCGATGCACCTGTGCGATACAGACAAAGTTTGACTTAAATTTGTCTAAGAACATTTTAAAATGTTTCAGTTAATGCACAAAACTTCCCACTGACAGGTTACAGACAGGTCTTCACACATTTCAAGTAAAGTCAGTGTTCATTTTAATTACCCAACATAAAATGTTAGAAACCCAGACGTAATCTGTAATATAAGCTACTATATCATGCATATAAATGCATGATGTAGTAGCTAATTCTCAATATATGATGACCTTATAATAATGTAGAATTATTTGCTATAGTTTCACAATATTTGTCAACAAATTTAAAATAAAAATAACCAAATTCTTTGAACTTAAAAACCCCAAAAATATTATTCATATTGTACTTTGCATAAATATTGCAGTCACTATATTGCGATCCATTGCATTTAATGATGCCATTTTGCATACTAACGCAAAATGGCATTAGTGCCATTTTTACATTTCAAACTACCTCTAATTTTGATAGCAGTTTCTAAGTGTTCAGGTGTCAAGTTATCGCAAGCAACAAACTTAAATTAATATACTGGTCACAATAGCCAAGGTAGTGGAGTCATTTTGTTACAAAATTGTCCAAAGAAGGAGTTCTTTGTAGCCATGGTAAAAGCCATTTATTAAAAGATCAGATAATTTCCAGTTTTTCTACCTTTAAAAATTAGCGAAAGCAAAGAGTCCCACATGGATTATCGGTATACACTCAGATGGCATAGATCTGTTTGAAATGGGATTCCTCTTTCAGGGGCTTCAGTTCTGTTTGATGAAGCAGAAAATTAACCTTGTCTGCATTATCTGATGGGCTCCAAGCATTTGATTTCTTCTACACAATATGCTAACATCCATTACTACAACCGTGCATTAATACTCACAGCTTTAATTAGCTGTCTTGAATATGTGTTGATTTATGGGCAATTTTGGGAACATTCAATGCTTATGTTTTACTTGTAAAAGAAAGTGTGTATAACTAAAAGTAGGGAATATTGAAAAAATAGATGGGGATGAAAAAAAAATCTATATTACAAACCGGTCACAGGAGCAGGCCACCATGATGCTCAGCAGATTGTAGATGATGTAGGTGAAGATGACAGCGGTAATGGTGCCACGAGGGATAGAGAAGCTGGGATTCTTCAGGTCACCTGGTGGATAGCACATGTTTAAAATGTAGTCATGTTAAATAAGAAGTACACCCTGTTCTATTCAAAATATCTATGCATCTGAATACAAAAACCTAATCTGTTCCCTATCAGTTTCTACAATTCAAATCGATATAAATTGAGGTGAACAGCAGCATAGTTCTGAGAAATATTTTTGACAAACTTATTCCATCTTTACCTCAGCGAGAGATTAGACTGCTAATGTAATGAACAAATTACTAGATCAGCAGTGACAGAGTTGAGAAATTCAGGTATGTTAAGACGATGCCAATCAACAGTTAGTGGTGCAATTTAATCAGAAAATTGGTTTAAGGTCATTTAACAGCTATTTGGGGTCCATAATTAAACAAAGACAAACATAGTTTACAAGTAGAAGAGTTTTAAGACATCATCCAACCTCCCAGGAACTCCCCCACTTGAATTCAGGCCACGAACACCACAGGACGTCCTTAATAATCTCTTTGATGTAGATGTTTGTTCATAGTGAACATCAACATGTTTGAACATAACAGAGGCCTGTGATTTCCATGATACAGACAATGTGGGCAAATCAAACAATTAAAATGGAATCCAGTGTATAATGTGAAATATTGTACAAGTTATGAATTCAGTCAAGAGATGTCAGGTTTTCCCAAACAATAAGAGAGTTCACCTTTTACAACAATGTTTACAGTAAAAGTGAAACCCTGCTGTAACACAGGTCATTAATAATGATGTAGAAGCACCAGAACAGCAAACTCTCAACTCATCATATCTCCCCTTCACTCTGCAAAAACCAGCAACTCAAACAGTGGCAGAAATAAATACTAATATGTAAATGATGCTAATATTAAGTTGTTGAAATTATTTACATTAAGCTTATAAAGACATGCATTTCCACCTGTTAAACCTGATATTTAAGAAAATTAAGCAGAAAAAATGGGATGTGGAAAATAAATTGAGACATGGAAGGAAGAAATATTATTCCTTCCTTATTCATCAGACATAGCAGGGGGTCGAATGATTGTCAATCAATAATATTTCATTATGTTCTAGAGCCAAATATGAGGCCATCTATATTAACTTCAACTAAGTGATTGTTTTGGCACAGTGATGTAGCCCATTCAACGATGAGTCTAATAAGGTTATAATCTGCTTCTGAGTTCAGAAATACTTTGCAATAAGGGGATAAAATAAAATGCAAATATTGTTCATCTTTGATTAGATTCATCTTTGTTTTTATCTCTAGGATAAAATGGAAATAGCCTTTATTATTAAAGATAATTCTATTAGGAATGAAAGCGGTCTTATTTTTATAGATGACCGATTCCTTTACAGGCTATACCATGACCACACCTACCTGACATATTAGAGCCTGCCATGATGCCGGTGCAGCCGTTGAACATGACAGCAAATACGGTGGCGAAGGACATCATCTTCCCAGTGGTGTAGTCTTCAACATAATCAGCTGGAAGAAATACCAGTAAGTCACTGTAGTTCTGCCTCTTTAATCGTCATCATCATCAGTAAATTTAACTTGGTTTGATGGCAGACACAGCTCTGCAGCCCTCTGGATATAAAACTTAATCTCTGCAAGCCTCTGAAGAAGTAACCCTCTTCAAACATTTCTATTGAGTACAGACAGTATCAGCAATCAAGTTTCACAGGTAAAAATCTAATTTCACACCCACAAAGGTTCATACAGGAATATATTCTGTTCTTTCATTCATGTGTGAACAAATGTTTTGATATTACTCACTCTGATAAGGCTGAGGTTAATCTTAGCTCAATGCCTTAGATTTTAACTTATGCAGTCCTTTTGTGTGCATTTTTGATTCATTTTTATTGATGTAGTGTAAAGAATACCCTTAATCTTCTTTACATTTAACTGACTAGTTCTCTCTAAAAGTACAGGGTTTAAATAAACATGATACATTTTACAAAACTCACTGAATCCATAAAATGGTAACGTGTATGCATTGCCTCTGTAAACAGCTGGTAAAATTAATCAGGATTATTGTTTATGTGTGTGTGTAAATAGTTTTTATGAGTACAGGCCTGAGTTACAAGCAATTAGCTCGGTAATCATGTGCTTGAAATTAAATCCTCTCAAGCTGGCTGCTAGTTTTGTAGGAATTAGAATCCAAAGAACATGCCCTACATCACTCAAACATAAGTCAAATATGTTGTGATCTTCCCGGAAGCGTAGGTGAAACGCCTGCTGCTCTTTCCTGTTTGGTCTGCAGGGGGAGGAGTAAACACATATTGATCTGAATTCTAGACCCATAATCAGAGTTAACGAGGCATTAAGCCCATAATATTCATTATTCCTGCTCTGGTGTACATACAGTTAGGGCCAGAAATATTTGGACAGTGACACAGGTTTTGTTATTTTAGCTGTTGACAAAAATATGTTCAGAAATACAATTTATATATAATATGGGCTGAAAGTGCACACTCCCAGCTGCAATATGAGAGTTTCCACATCCAAATCGGAGAAAGGGTTTAGGAATCATAGCTCTGTAATGCAGAGCCTCCTCTTTTTCAAGGGACCAAAAGTAATTGGACAATGGACTCCAAAGGCTGCAAGTAACTCAAAAGGCCTTTCCCTCGTTAACCTGTAATCAAGTAAGTATATAAAAGGTCTGGGGTTGTTTCCAGGTGTGTGGTTTTGCATTTGGAAGCAGACAACATGTGGTCAAAGGAGCTCTCAATTGAGGTGAAGCAGAACATCCTGAGGCTGAAAAAAAGGAAAAAATCCATCAGAGAGATAGCAGACATGCTTGGAGTAGCAAAATCAACAGTCTGGTACATTCTGAGGAAAAAGAAATTGACTGGTGAGCTTGGGAACTCAAAAAGGCCTGGGCGTCCACGGAAGACAACAGTGGTGGATGATCGCCGCATACTTTCTTTGGTGAAGAAGAACCCGTTCACAACATCAACTGAGGTCCAGAACACTCTCAGAGAAGTAGGTGTATCTGTCTCTAAGTCAACAGTAAAGAGAAGACTCCATGAAAGCAAATACAAAGGGTTCACATGTAGATGCAAACCATTCATCAATTCCAAAAATAGACAGGCCAGAGTTAAATTTGCCCAAAAACACCTCAAGAAGCCAGCCCAGTTCTGGAAAAGTATTCTATGGACAGATGAGACAAAGATCAACCTGTACCAGAATGATGGGAAGAAAAAAGTTTGGAGAAGAAAGGGAACGGCACATGATCCAAGGCACACCACATCCTCTGTAAAACATGGTGGAGGCAACGTGATGGCATGGCATGCATGGCTTCAATGGCACTGGGTCACTTGTGTTTATTGATGACATAACAGCAGACAAGAGTACCGGATGAATTCTGAAGTGTACCGGGATATACTGTCAGCCCAGATTCAACCAAATGCTGCAAAGTTGATCGGACGGCGCTTCACAGTACAGATGGATAATGACCCCAAGCATACAGCCAAAGCTACCCAGGAGTTCATGAGAGCAAAAAGGTGGAATTTCTGCAATGGCCAAGTCAATCACCAGATCTTAACCCAATTGAGCATGCATTTCACTTGCTCAAATCCAGACTTCAGACGGAAAGACCCACTAACAAGCAAGACCTGAAGGCTGCGGCTGTAAAGGCCTGGCAAAGCATTAAGAAGGAGGAAACCCAGCGTTTGGTGATGTCCATGGTTCCAGACTTAAGGCAGTGATTGCCTCCAAAGGATTCGCAACAAAATATTGAGAAAAAACTTTTTGTTTGGGTTATGTTTATATGTCCAATTACTTTTGAGCTCCTAAAATGTGGAGTGTTTGTAAACAAATGTGTACAATTCCTACATTTTCTATCAGATATTTTTGTTCAACCCTTTAAATTAAACGTTACAATCTGCACTTGAATTCTGTTGTAGAGGTTTTATTTCAAATCCAATGCGGTGGCATGCAGAGCCCAACTCACAAATATTGTGTTACTGTCCAAATATTTCTGGCCCTAACTGTATGTAGCCGGTGGACAGCAGGTTCAATTTAAAAGAAGAAAACATTAATTTAATGAACTTAGAAGTTGCACCTTATAAAATAAAGAACATAGGCCATATAAAAAACAAAACTGGCTTTAAAGCTTCTGAATCACCAATCAGTGTTAAATGGTCATATGTGCTGCCACTGATCAGACGTCAACATTAGTAAAACTGTCTTTAAACCCACAAACAAGCTGAGGGTCTCAGAGCTTATGAAGCTACTGTGTGAAAAAAACCCTCATTTCCTTTTTCCCTTGTTTCACAAGAACATCTGCTGCCAACATGATGCATAAAAAGAACAGACTTGATCCAAAACTTTAAGTAATAATTAGAGATGCATTTAAAACTCCAACTGGAAATAGCTGACTTTAGGCTTTTCCAACAGGACTCTCCATTTTGTCAGAAAAAATAAAAATTATATATATATATATATATATATATATATATATATATAAAGTTTTAGAGAAATCTTTTTTAATTACAGAGCTGTGTAACACCCATTGGCATCTGATTACTTATAAATATATATTTAAAGTGAAAAAATATTTGAGGAATAGTCAAAATTGTCAAAAATTTATATTAGCAATTCAGTGCTTTATAAAAATCATTGATTTCAAAGTGGTCAAAAAATCTCTGATTTCTAATAAAATATTTAGCAGAAGAAAAAAAGTAAAAAAAATTAAGACTATATTCTAGTCACTCAATCTTACCCTTCAGATTTCCCAGCAGTGTTTCCAGCTTGAATCCAGTAAAATTAGCTGTGGTGGGATACACAGGGCCCGTCCCGTTAGATGGCTTGAAGGGGCTTGGCAACGTGACCATTTTAGGATGCACAACAAAGAAGCTGACAAAGATCATGATCAGAACCAAGATGACCACCAGGAAGATGACGAAAGTGGCCTTGGCGTAGATGTGGGCCCCAACCAGGCATACTATAAGGCACAGCAAGAGGATAACGGTGCCATACAGCAGGGACCACCAGTAACCTGACGGCAGGACCTGGTGTGAATTAGGAACCACGGTTGGATCTAAAATGAAACATAAGAGGCAATGTAATGACTGTGAAGCTTTGATTTGATTGACAATGGTATAACAAAAGGAATCCAAGATAGTTTCTGCCTCATGTTTTCCACAGTCTTTCACCTGTGTTAGGGCTGTCGCAAAAAGCAATAACTCAATTAGTTGCATAATAAATTAAAACAATCATAATAATTTCCATATGCATGATTTGCCAGTGTTCTCGTTTCTCCATTTCTTCCTTCCAAAACTGGATGATAACAGTCTTCAGTCTGGTGCTTTGGTCTCAACCAAGCCTTTTTTTTTGGAGGACAACTTGGTTTATAGAGTCTTCGTTGTTAAAGTAATAACTTTTAATACTTTGGCAGGTCAGATAAACAGATAAACACACAAATCAAGAAATCCTCAATTTACCTTCTGGTATTCCAAAGGTGCCCATCATGGCCTCTACCAGACCTAGCACATAGAGGGCGCTGCCACACACATTAGCAAAGAAGAACATGATGCCGATGCTGCCGCCAAACTCAGGACCCAGAGCTCGGCTGATCATGTCTGTGCCTCAAGTTAGGGCAAAGTACATGGCATTTAAAGCAAACTCATGAACTGATGTGAAATATTTGCAAAAGGGTAAGCTTGGTTTGCCAAATACACTCAAAATGTGAAAAGCTATTGGTCAACTTTAGCAATAATAACCAGGTCATAGTAAACCAATTTGGGGTTTTTTAAGAACTGAAAAATAAATGTACTTACTGTATTTTGCCTGAATTTGAAATATATTAAAGAAACCTCAGGTAATTCACAACTTTTATACTAAATCATGTGCTTCAGTTTAAAGAAACACTTGCAGATTTCCACCTTGTCATCAAGCAGCTGTAGATGCAAATGAAAACAAGATGTGTAAATGAACGTCGTTGAAAAGTTGTGAAATCTTGCAAACAATCCAAACTTAATGCTGCACAGCAATATCTGAGAGTGAGCGTGTCTAAGCATGTATGTTAAATATCAGAAATCATTTTTGTGTGACTGATTATACTCTCAAAATGTGAAAAGCAATCTCACTAGTTTGCTACTCAGATACTAAAAAAGGATCCTTTCTTTTTTAGTATATTTATTTATTTTTTTAATTTTTTTTCTAGATTGATACTTTACCCTCAGCTGTGGCTGAAGTAGTCAAGCTGACTGTCACAGAACATTAAAGCAAGCCAAATTTGAAATAAATCTGATTTATACTTTTCCAGTAGTTAGAAATGTGGTGTGACAGACAGCACTTGTTTGAAACAGAGACCCTGATTTTGTGTATACCTTGACTATTGACAGTGATAATGGCGCTACACTGACTGTCACATGCAGATGGTCATATGATGAGGCTTGTGTGTGTGTGAACAGGATACAATAGGCTCCTCCAGCATCCAGTGCTCCATTGGTGGAGATTGCGCACACTGACAGAACAGTCATGGAGATGATGAAGTAGGCCACCACAAACATGAGAATGCCTTGGTACAATCCAGCCTGTCCCACCACAAATCCTAAAAAAAAAAAAAAAAAGAAACAGTTCCAAGTAAATTAAATTGAGAAATTGATGTCTGGGTGAAAGCAGAACCATAAACTGGAGCAGAGTGGAAAGAGGCTGATAAAGAATTCCTGGGAAGTGCCAGCATAAAAGAGGATGTGGGTTTTTTATGGCGTCATGAAAGTACAATTAGTTAACGTATTACATGAGATCTATTTGTTCAACAGATGTCTGTCCATGGTTTTTAATTATAGATGACATTTCAAACAGTTTCCAAACAATTTAAAAGTGAAAATAAAAAAATAAATACATAAATACATAAAATAAATCACATAGCCTTCGGTTTAAATGACTCACCACAACATTTCACTTTCTGTAAAAGTGAAACTGGAATATCACATGCTGGGACAGATTCCAGCTTCTACATTGTCTGCATACATTGTGACCATACTTCTGCTATTCCGGTTAGATGACTCAGCTGAATTAGTTCCAGAGTCAAACTGGTGCTAATGTTTTCTTATCATTTCTTTGTGTCTATGTCATCTTAAGCAACCACATATGCATTGATTAAATGTGGAGTTCGAAGATATTGTTGATCATAGATTTGTCTGCAGCAGAAATTAATCTCAGTTGTTTTTTGGGAAACTAAGTCGATTTTTGGAGAGGTGGAGACTAACAGTCATGCAGTCTGTTTTAGCTGATTGCATGATTTAATTTAATCAATTGAGAATGTGGAAATCAGTAGGATATAGTGCTATACTGGCTGAAAGCATGTTCTCTTTGAATTCATACAAGTCAAACCAGCTGGTTACATCAATCTACCAGATGGTCTGGTCAGTCTGTCTATTGTCTGTGCTTTCCAGGTTTTAAGGAGCTGGAAAAATATTTTAGTCAACTCAAAATAAACTGATTCACCGACCACCTGATGAGACAGAATATGTTTTGAAATCTCTTTCATTTGAAGAACAAGGAGTTAGTGCCTCAACTAGACTCAAAAAACATCAATTACCATATTTTCCAGACTATAGAGTGTGCCTCCCTATAATCCACACCCACAAAATTAAAAATAATTAAAAAAAAAATTAAAACTGGAAATGTACATATATAAGCCGCACCGGGCTATAAGCCGCTGGCATCGCAGCCGCTCTCAGTTTTCCACAAGGGCGCAGCAAATCTGTACTGTCAGGTGAATAGCCTTCAACTTAAAAGCAGCATCATATAAACTTTGTGTGATTTCCATGATGAGGGCATAAGAGTTTGAAAACATTTCTCCATCGTGCCTGCTGCTAGCATGTGCTTGTTCTAAATAAAAATTAGCACTTTCTTCTTTGATTTCCAAATGTGTCACTTTGAACTGCATCGCAAACAAATTATCCACATTATTGCACCGTTCCTCCGTCCCTTAACGCTACTCATTTATCTTTGATCAGCAACTATCAGCATGTTTCTGCTATCAGTCAGGTCCACTATGACACAAATCCAAGTCTCACAAGGAAACAAAGTTCACTTTGTTCCTTAAAGAGCTAAAATTTTAAGCTCAATTGAGATAAACTAAACTTGCGAAGAATTTGCATGTTCTGGTGGTAAAGATATCCAGATCAGGACAAGAGACACTTTGTCAAACCGTTACATTTACAGTAGTTTCACATCCGCACTGAAACCACTCACAGTTCCTGTGCAATCTCACACTTTAACTTGAGATTACAATGTCTTAAGTCTTCAACCAACAGCTACATATGCCCATGTGAGTCTCTCTGAGTGTCCATTGCTCAGCAGCTGACATCTCACGAGACTGGGAGGGCAACTGGGAGAAGAGGAGATGAGAATACTGAAAGAGTTAAAACTTATAGGAAACAGAAAAAAATCTGAAAGAAAAGCAGAAGTGAAAAGTGGGGAGAGAAGATGAAGTTGGTTATGAAAAGTTGATTTGTTGTTGTGCAAATTCAACTCTGGTCACTGCAGCAACATGGATTTCATGGGCTTGAATAATTTCTAGTTTAGTCATATTACTGAAAAAGGAGAACTTATATCTCATTGATTACAATCAGACATGAATTCCTCACTGTACCGAAACCTAAACCTGAGTTGCGAGTGTCATTTTCACAGCATAAAGTTGAGATAGTCTCTGTTTGCTGCTGAATTATTAGTGAACTTGCAAAAGCTGTAGCTTAAATGGATAATTCAGATTGTCCTGATTTATAGTTAGATATTGCCTCTATCTATAAACATCCAGCAAATATTGTTGCAATTTGTTCCTTGTTTTGTTTATAAAAACAAATGTTAATTCATCACCCTTAACAGATTAGGAATAAATGACTATAATGTAATTTGTTGCTGTCACTTGGTCATTTTGTAAAGGTAAAAGGTAAAGGCAATTTTGTTTATATAGCACATTTTCAGCAACAAGGCAATACAAAGTGCTTTACAGGATTTAAAAGGAAATACAAAAAAATACCTAACCAAAAGAAACAGCAAAAGACAAAAAAGCTAATAAGGTTGATGATCCAAGGTCGATAAACTAGATACTCCTATTCAGGGTTGGTAGCTGAGTATAAGTATGTATCCTCTGTTCTAACTCCTTTTCTGGTTTGGAAGAATAGGACTCTAAAAAGTAGTAGCCAAGATAGTTTTTCTGGGTTCCCAGTTCTAAACCCTGCTATGGCTTGCTAAGTAAGTGTAAGTAAGTAATCTCTTACTTACACTGGATACTCCTATTCAGGGTTGGTAGATATGAGAAAGAAAGTATCCTCCGATTCCTTTTCTGGGTTGGGAGAATAGGAGTTTAAAATGCAGTTGCTAAGGTAGTTTTTTTGGATTCCAAATTTTAATCATTGTTCTGGGTTGCTAAATAAGTGTAAGTAAATAAGTATCTTCTGGACTTCTGGGATGCTAGATTCTCTGGACTTCCTAAGTGTGCTCTAAATTTGTAAAAGTAATGAGTACTCCTAAGTTCCTAAGTAATGATAAAAACTAAATGTTCCTGTTCTGAAAGAATATTTTCTGGATTTTCTGCATTTGTTCTAATTTCTTTTCTGGGTTGCAATAATAGGAGTCTCTGCATCTAAATAGTGAGTACTCTACTTTTTTTTAAACTATAAACTAAATAGTGACAAATAAACTAGATTCTCTGGATTCCAAGTTTGTTATAATTCCTTTTCTGGGTTAAAAGTGAGTACTCCACAGCTTTTAACAAAATAATTGTGCACCATGTCAGAGCACAATAGCAAAAAATGCAGGAAGCTGTAGCATAAGTGCACTGCCTGGAAAGCAGCATTTGTTTTTACATACAAGTTCACAATAATTAGAGATATTCTGTTTGCATTTAACCTTAAAATTGGACTTTTTAAATCTTTGCTAAACAGCTCCCTTCAATGCAAAAAGAGAAAGTTATTTTGAACTTTAGAAAGAGCCACAAACAGATCACAGAAAGGAGGTGTGTTAAATGGAAATTATAAACGCTTAACCCTGAAATGATGATACAAACAACCACAGAAATCGTAAAATATATAAACAATGACTGCGCTTCGGTTCATACAGAAAGCGAAACTGAGTGTAGTGATTTTTGCCGCCACCGCTCACCTATTCTGAGGAAGACCACGACGCTGAACATTGACAGCAGAGTGGGAACCACCACACCGAAGAACACCGACAGCTTCTTGGGCTGCCCCTGCGGTGAGGACCCGGGCCGCGGGCTTCCCGGAAGCTCCTCCGGGGCCCGGTTGGCAGGAGCAGACCGCGGCTCGGACTCATTGACGCTGGCGACGAGGCGGTAGTTCAGGAGAGGAGTCCGCTCCGTCATTGCGAACGAAAACAAATGTTCGCTTTAGGTCGACTCGAACTTTAAAAAGTAACCCGGAGAAATTTAAGGACGGGAAAAGTCGCTGTATTCTGTCAGGACAACTCAAGAGTTTGTAAATAAATGCTTGCGATGGATTACAAGCAGAAAGCTGTAAGAATTGACGCGTCCTGATTGTCAAATGCAAGTTCAGCAGCTACATAGCAAAACAGACAAGTGCTTCGGTCATAAACAGAATAGGTTAAAACACAGAGAGCGTGTTTGGCCTAATCACTGATGTACAAACTTCCATCGTTTATCAATAAAATGCTAGATAAAATCCCCGACTGGGATACCTGCGCGTGGTCATTGTATGTTCTGTGTTATTTCTCTAATTATACGGAATAAAATATCATGTGATGCCGCAACGTCAATGCGTGTCTCTGCTGCAAACTTCCGTTTTGCCCTCTCACAATAAAAGCAATTATGATTTAGTGCAACTTTTTCATAAGAGCAAAACGATTTACCCCGTTAGACATAAATATATCTGTCAGGCACTGCATTATGACCATTAACGAGTGAAGTCCAAAGCACTTCTGTTTTTCCAAGGGTTGTGAGCAAATGATTTTGTTGTTATTTTCTAGCAATCTGGGTGTGGAGTTCCTTCACATCATTCCCTGATTGTTCTGAGATCCGTCAGCAGGATTATGTGCCATCCCAAGAAGCAAACAAGATTTAGGAATAAACAATGTTTAGTGTGAGTTGTTAACTTGCCTCGCAGATTCCCATGACCTTATTCCCAGAGAAATCCAATATAATTTCTCTGGGATTAGCTAAATTAGAGCACTCCACCTTCCAAACCAAAATGATCTGCTGCTGACCTCTTGATGCTAAATAAAAACACACCTCCAAAAGTCTTGTGGGGTATGTGCTTCAGTAGTATTTATCTAAATTGCATCAGTCACAGATATTAAAACCACAAAGTGCTTCACAAAGACACAAACTGTTTGCCATGTAGCTATAATCCACAGTTGAAGAAGAGCAGGGCTGGGAAGAGGGCAATAATTTTATAAAACTTTGCTAAACAAACAAACAAAAAGCTGAACTTCAAACTTTAAAAGGACCATGCATGATTATATCTTATTTTATTTTCTTTATGCAAAACTTCCGGTTTATTATATCTAACTTTACTTTCGTACTTGACACTCGGGTTTTCCTGAGATTTCCTGCTTTCACATTTTCTAGCCTACTGCTTTCGGTCATATGATGAAGTTAGTCAGGCCAATAGGAGGGTTACATTGCTGAAAGCGCTTGCTTACCAGCTTTTTTTTTTTTTAATATCAAAATAAAAGTCCACATTGATTTCTCTTTTTCATTTCCATAGCCTTTATTTTGAAAAATTCGCGTTCTTTCAACACTCAGAATGAAAGTTATGATCCAAGTAGAAGAATGGTCCATGTCCAGTTCAAATGGTTCAAAGTCCTCGTCAGTAAATAAATAACACATAAGTATGTAAGTGTTTCTTAAACACAGCCTTTTAACGTTTTACAAACTGTACACACTCAACTGCATTTCACAGACATTCATTTTAGGTTTCATTTTAAAGTAATACATATAAATTATTTTCATATACAGGCATGTTCTTGATCGTTTTCCCATGATCTAAGTTATAATACATTCGATTGATATGCACAGAGACAGAATAAATGTTTTTGTTCACATTTTGCAGCTATATATACTTCACATTTTAACTTTCACCTCGTTATGAACTTTGAGAAAACATCCCCTTTTACATCTTAAACTGAATATCACATTGATCATTTGCAGATTAAAATAATTTGTGTTCTTAAAAAAAACATAAGATCTTCATTAGAGTGCAATTTATGTGATTAAATTTCAACCTTTCTGCAAACAGTAATGAGGATGATGAATATTTTGAGTCTAAATCTGACCACTTGCACTTCTCATCTAGCACCTGCAGAGGGCGCTATGCTCTCAGTTTGATTTGTATATTGCAATAGCTTTAAACTACAAGTTTAAAAGGCTCTGCTGAAGCACATTTAGAAAGGGTTGGTCATTTGTCTAAACCACTCACAATTTAAGGGGGGGTCACATAATCAACTAAGAGAACCATAACCTTTTCAGATTGGTTTCCATGAGCCACAGTTTGGCTCATGGAAACTGAGCATAAATGAGCTGATTGTGCAATATATGGCTAAAGTAAATATTGAAGCTGTTTTACAGCTCAAATACACTACTATAGCTTCAGGGCAGCCTGCAGTCTAAGTTCAGTCTTGAATTCGAAAGCAATAGTTTGTTTGACAAACTATTACAATAGTTTGTCTGTAGTTTCTGCTCACCTCGCAGAAACTACAGTGAGTGGTAGCTCTGGGATTCTGTTCTTCTCAGCTAATGTGTATGCACATATACTGGGGTTGTTGTCGTACATTCACTCATGAGACAAGGCAGGAGGATTTTACCTAAATTTCTGAGAAAACTGAGGATATTGGGGAAAATCAGTAACTGTCTTTGTTTTGTAACCAATGTTTAAAAAAGAATTCAGTTCAAGTTTAAAAAAATATGAAAAGTGCAAGCTTAGGAAAGCCCACTTCTCCGCAAACTTGTGACTGGAATGCAATAACTCACTCATAACTGAGCCATACAAATGAATTGAAATGAAAAAAAAAATAAAATAAAAAGTTTGTGTCACTTATTTGCTCTGCTGCAAATATTAGCATGTTATTATATAAAATAAATTCTGAAATTGCATTTCCTAGATTATTTCTGGTGGAATATTCAGGATTTGTATTTGCTGCCAAATGGAAGTTTATCACATATTAGTGATATCCAGCAAGTCATCATGACTTCAAAACACCAGAACTCTCAATTCCAAATGTAGAAACCAATGCTGTGAAACAACAGTCCATAAAAGAGCATCTGATGTCCCAATAAATATGTATGTCCTCATTGTGCAGCCTATGATTCAGTTTTGCTATCTTGGTTTGTAGTTCTTTATCCTTGTCCACAGACTGATTCCTATAGGTCCATTCCAAGTGGTTTGTCATTACAAACGTGACGCATCCTCTGGCTTCAACTTTGTGTCGAATCTTGTCCGAGGTAACAAAGTTTTACAATTAGAGTTCTTTCGGTTAAAGTTGCCTTAAACTCCTTTTCTTGTTATGACCGCACTCAGTTTTCAAAGCAACACCTTCCAGCTTCTTTGTGACTAGCTTGCTGAATACCTCCCAGATTACACTAAGTTTCTGTGTTCCAACCCATTTTTGAGGCGGGCTTCGAGTAGGCAAAGGGCCGTTTTTCTGTAAGAAAGCAGTGATACATAAGATATTACTATGTAGCACATGTTCAAACAGCTCATAGTTTTATGCTAAGGTAATGAAACATTATTATTCTGAGAAAATTAATGAATTTCATTATATCTGTGTTGATTCTCTACTTGTTATGTTTTTCTTTGTAGCTGTAAGTTAAGCTTAAGCTTCTTGATGCATTTATTTGATGCAACCAAAAATGCATCAAGATGTCACTTCTAGTGACGTAGAGGTTTGAAAAAGCAATAAACAATCAATTATAAATATGTATCAGCAGACTCACAATTTTAGCATCAAGTTTCTATTCCTTTGCCAGCAGCATCTCTTCAAATACAGCAAACAATAGTGCAGCTAATGCTATGTTTTTCAAACCAATGATAGAATATTTTGTCTCTGTTAAACCCTCCATTTGTATCCTCAAATCTGGTAACATAATGTTGGCTGTTACAAAACAGCCAGCCTAGAATGCATCACTGTGCCAACATAAAGATGAAAACATAGCAGTTCAAAGCATATGAGGACAACAGAAAATCAGGTTTCCCTTGCGGCTGTCGAGATAAAGAATAATCCAAAGTAGAAGCCTACATGATGAATCACCAACGAAGAAGGTAATAAAACCTGTCATTATCCACTTGTGGTCTTTGGATCATTTTATGAATTCTTTACCAATGATACAGTGGCAGGAAAGGTTGGGCAATGATTGCACTTTCAAGAGTGCAATCATTGCAATCATCTTAAGCTCATCTTAAATTCAGCTTAAGATCTTGTTCTGTTGTCTGTTGCACAGACTTATGCTTCATGGTAATCAATATTACTCATGATTTTCTTTAGACTTTAAAAAAGTATTTTTTTAACTCAGCCACTATTACAGGCTACATAGCCACATAATGTCACAATTGCCTTTGTTTTTCCAAATAACATCCTTCTGAATTTCTTAGAAGCTAGTGGTTGTGACATGGCAAAAAAATTCAAGGTACATTGCTGACATTTTTCACAAAATATATATTTATATTTTTTGAACTGTACCTGTGGGTGATGTTTGAGAAGCATCATATAATGCTTAATACGGTGATTAAACTTCTCCAGAAAGTCCTCACACTCCGTGCTGGTTTGATTCCTAAGGTGTTTGACAGTTTCTTGAAATGCCTGGAAGTCCTGCAGCACTTCAGACAGTTTTTCCTGTAACTAGACGTACAAATGTACATACAACTGTCAGAATGCTGCAACAAAATCAATAATTTACCAAATTTTCAGGTTTTGTTTCACATGTTCTTATTCTGAACTGTCCAGTGTGTACCCCGTTGCTCAGCCGATGACATCTGGATATGGACACCAATGCTGTTCACTGTATAAATTCGCAGGATAGCGCAATGCTAGGTAGCATTGAAAGACCCAACAACTCTTCAAAAGAGAGAAAATTTGAGCTGTCTCCTCAATAAACAATGGACCAATTCCAATATAAGCTAAAAGAACAAGAGCAAATTTGGATCTGCCTGCAAGGCGATACAGTTGAAATGCTGTTTACCCGTAGCCTGATACCACAAAGTCAAATTCAGGAAACAATTATCATATCTCACTAACCAACAATGCGTGACTGATTACAACTTCTGATTTAACACCTATGTTGTTAACCTCCGCCACACTTTTGTCTGCCAGTTCATGTTCTGCCTCAGTTGCTATGCTTGGTTTGTTTCTTAAGAAACTAATTTATGACTCATTTCAACTTGAATTCAACTTAACACCATGAATGGTTGATTTTTTTTTCTTCCTTGTTTTGTTGATATTTTATATTTGAGTTTTGTTTCTGCAAAATTCTAATATATAATTATAAGATGCAAAATGGAAGCTGATAAAATATTAAGGAAAAAGAGAAGGCATAACATCATCGTGGTAGTTTCCAGGAGACTTCTGAAAGAGTGACATAGTAACTTCCAACAAAAAAGAGTTTACGTGAAGCAGGCTTGTTTGTTCAGCAAATAGTTTATAGAAATTCCAATGGAAGTATTATGTGTAAAACTAACATCCAAATGGAGGGAAGGCATCAAAATAGTCCAGCAAAACATTGTCCAAAGCTTCACACCACCTCTGCAGTTTTTCCCTTTTCTGATTCTGCACCCGGAGAAGTGGCGCATGAGCACCCAGTCATCCATGTAATGTTAGATTCATCAGATCATACCACATCATTTGTTCCGTTTTGATCCAGTTCAGATCCATGCATGCTCATGTTGTTAGCAGTCGACAGGTGACAGCATCTGTACCCTGAAATTACTATCTGGTCCCATCCACAAAAACCTGCAATACACTGAGCATTCTGAAATTTTTCTGTCAGAACCAGCATTAATCTTTCAGAGATTTCATGAAAACTGCAGTTGCTCATTTTTAGGTCAAACCACAAATGAGTCTTTGCTCAGTGAACCTTAACCATTAACGATCTTGTCTTTTTTTCAAAGTCATTCCTTCCTTGAGCTAATTTGAATGGAATCTAACCTCTGCAGATAAGAATTTTTTAAATTGTTGACCCATGCTCACAAATTTATATGTCAATCTATGTGACCTAAACTTTGACTTCAGCTTGATGTTCTGGGGCATTTATGTGTAACAAAACTCAAAATCTGCAGGTTGCCAAATACATTTTGACAGCAGTGTAATTAGATCAGTTTCCTCCCCCACACTTGTTGTTGTGAAAGTTTTTTTTTATGGAAGCTGGTTACGACTGTGTTTTTGATATGCTTTTGCAGCAGTTACATGTTGATTTGTCTTTGTTTTCTACAAATATGTTCTTGAATTTCCGGCCCAGACAGTCATGAGCGAGAACCCAGCTCTTGCCAAGGAGGAAGAGCAATGAATCTTGGCAACAGAACAAGGGAAGCCAAACACAAATTCTTTGGAAAAACCACAGTGTTTTTTGTTTGTTTGTTTTTGTTTTTTCTTTACTCAAAACATAACAGCATACTACTTGTTGCTGAGATATGAAATTTCTTGAGGTCGATGTCACCTATGTTAAAGGTTTGGACGTCGTGGAAATTTCTTTGACAAATTGTTGATTGTTCCTTAGAAAGAAAGCTGATCTGCCATTCAAAAATACTGGTGCTTGATTAAAAAAATATTATTTAAAGCCTGGATCCAGCTGTTGTAATGTTATCAGATTGCATGGAGGAATTTGAGAAAGCAGAAACCACTTCTTCTTTCATCACAAAGAAAAGAAACAAAAATAGCAAAATGCACATCTTTCAGCGTTTACGGTTGGACAAAAAATCTGTGATTAATGCAGGTTTAGTGGTTGAAAATGCTGTGCATTACTTACTGTGTAATTTTCATATTCTGGCGAATTCACCCCCACTCTTGGCACATGAACAGTAGAAAGCAGGGTGTCAGAACAGTTACCCTAAAAACATCAATATTGAAGTTTTGTCAGATGCACTGATACAATGAAGCAAATTACTTGAAATGTACAACAGAAAAGATTAATTTCCATTCACTTTAACACATAAACTTGATTTGGTAATACAATGACAGAAAGCTCTCCATGTTGCCTACATGTCAGAGGTTCAAAATTCTAATTATGCAAGAAAAACAAAGATAATTCCTCACCTCAACTTTGAAATCCATCATCAGGCGCTGTCTAGCGTCAATGTTACACCAAAAGGCAATCGGTCTTGCGCTTACTTGAGGCAGGTGGGTGACAGTCGCTCCTATCAGCAGCAGCAGCAGCAGTCCTGGAGCAGCACATGGTGAATGTAACTGAGGAGCTGCCATCCAGCTCAATTATGCTGCACCAGAGTCTAACCTGTCTGCATTTGTTGTTGTATGCACTGCCTCCCCCTTTTATTGTTAATGGACTGCCTTGAAGTCAACAGCATGAACAGAATCACTCGTGCTTATAATGTCGTTATTGCTTCCTGCCAGAATTCCACCCACAGATCTTGCCTCAACAAGTCGCCTTGTCAAATTCACTTTCGTAGGTGTCTCTGCCCATATGTTTCTTGCTAAATTAGGCAGCTGGATTTCAATTAATGTGCTTAAAATTGAACGGGTTTGGGAACTCATACCAGCTATTCCCATTAGTGGGCGTGGGGATTTTAACAATACTAGTAATGTGTCAGGAACCCGATGATATGTAGGGAATCCCTTTAAAAGTATCTTTAACAGCTTTTGTCTGTGTTAATTATAATACATAACAAATTGGTAACATCACCTTATATCAAAGTTTACATATAAACTAACCTTTGTCATTAGCATGTTATAAAAAAGGTAGATAACTTACTGCTATAAGCCATAACCCGTCCTTGAAGGCATGGTGTCTATCACTTGTGATTGTTTGGCCCCCATCGCTCTTCCATGAACTTTCAGAAGAATCACCTCAGGTCACAGTGAGGCGAAAGTCATTCTATTATGCCTAGGAAGCTTTTTTTATGCCCTTAAATCTCAGATCGACACCTAAAACACCAGGTGGAGATGGTGCTGAGCAGCATTCACCTCCACAAAGATTTGAGAAAATGCTATGTCGTGGGTGACGTGTGTTACTGCACGACTTCTCAGAGTGTGTAGACTGTCTGTTTGTCTAAGCCCAAAGTTAATGTTTCACCCTGTGTCACCAAAACAAATAAAACTGAAATCGTACTAACCTGGTTATGTTGTTGCTGATCAGCTGTGTCATGTTTGAGACGTTTGACCATATTTGTTAAAGAGATCCGTCTGTCGGTTTAGTTTAATTAGCATAGATGGCGCCCACAGTTCCAGCACTGTCTGTGTTACTTTCATAATCACTAAAATGGCTTGCACAGATTTTTGGCTATGACTACAAAAGAATGTAATATAAAAATAGTAATGGAAATCTTCCTTTAGGACAAATGCAAACAAACGTATAGCAGCAACAACAATGTTTAGATAGTGAACAGATGCTTTGCTTGTGTAATATAAGCCCACATTATCCACTTTGCGTCAAGAAGGCACACATAACTGTGGCAAACAATACACAAGGTTCTCATTGCAGACATTTTCCTGAAAAAGACTCATGGATAATAACTTGGCAAGACTCCAAAAAGAGTCATCTATTGCTGAAGGAGTTATAAAATTGAAGTATATTCAGATATTTTGCAGATCCATCCTTTTTCTAACCCTGGACCGCATTCAGGTACCCCCAAATTGTTGCCACAGGAGGTTAAAGCATTTCTCAAACAAGTATGAAAGACTGAAAGCAATTCACAGAATTCAGGGCTGTTTTTGATGAGGAGACGAATAATATTATAACAAGATCAAAAAAGTCAATTTTACATGACAGTCCCCCTTTAAAACCTGAACTGAAACCATTGCAACATTTTATTGGTTTTGTTATCAGTTCATATAGTTTTATTGTTTACCTTTAAAAGTTTGTTAGTTTTGTTGTTTTATTGTTTTCCTAGTAGTTTAATTTGCACACTGACAGCTTAGCAAGTTGGTGTAAATATATAACCGTAGAGTTGAATTGTTTGTGTTAAGAAACTCTTTTATATTTGAGAGAAATGTCTGTGTTTCTGTTGTATCTGGATGTCCAAGGAACACCATCCAGTATTGGACTTATACCTCTTGATATTTTCCTGTGCCTTGAATTTGTAATTTTGATCAAAGTGTCTTGTTTTATTAATAACAATTATTTTTCAGTAATTCATGACCAAAACAAGTCTCCTATTGTGGCACAACTTAGAAGAATAAACTATTAAACATAAAGAAACATAAAGAACATGTACATGTACATGTTGTCACTGCTGTGACAACATGTACAAAAACCATCAAGCATCAAAGGAATGTGGTAGTTTCGGCGAAAGCCTGTAAGCCATGATCAGTGAAATCTGATACTGTCTTCTACAGGTTTTTCTTTTCAGACACGTCTGTCTCTGAAACATATACCACAATGAAAAGAGAAAGTTGTTTCACTTAATAATCTCCAGCAGTACATAGAATCTCTTCTTCATTGCATGTATCACTGAGAAGGAATAAAAAATGTTGGACTCTTAGTAAGCATAAACATTTGTTTAAAAAATTATTAAACATGTCTGAATCTGCAAATCAAGATCAAATTCTCTCTTTTTGATAGTATTTAGGCATACTAAATCTTTCTCAGATGCAATATAAGATCCACTTTTTCATGCTGACACTCAGACAAATTTTAGCTTCCTGAAACCAAATTAGTTTAAATCTGACTTAACTTAACTTAAATATCTTACTGGACAAACTTTTCCAGTGACAAACAGATAGATTCTCTGTTTTGGTGCCACAATCTGTTGTAACTGTATGAGTGTATTTTATGACAAAGTATTCATGAACACACAAGGTGAGAAAGGTGTGAAAGTTTAACCAAAGATTTCCTCTCTTCCTACTGTTATCTTTTGGATCCGGTTTTGTTGTGAAACTTTTACTTGTGAGATATTGCACAATGACTTGGAATCCTTAACAAAATTCATAGGCATATTGTGCCAGGAAATAGTCGCTTACTCCAACAAAAACAAAAAAAAAAAGGACAAGCTGTTTGTGTCTTGCTACCAACAAAAGTGTTATCTGATTTTGGAACAGCAAAATTAAACTTGAATTGCAAGCAGCTATCAATGGGTTTCAAAGCCAACCCAGCATATCCACCCCGCACCCCGCTTCCCAGCACACTCTCATCTCTGCGTCTTCTCAGTCAAGTGTCACTATGACTCTTTGCATGTCAACCATTCTGGAAAACTGCAGATTGGTTACATTTCAGAATACGTTATGGTTTAGAATTATGGGCAATTGAAAACAATTTTTTATTTATTTTTTGCTTTCTCCCTTCAATGACGTACAGACTGTACAGATTTCCAGGCCGATCAGAGTTGAACAAGGGAGAGTAACACTTCTGGAAAATGACTTAGCAAAGTTTATGTTTCAGAATCTTTCAAAGTTTTTTTTTTTTTTTTTGTCCATATTGTTTTGTAACTGTGTTCTGAAAATATCATGTTACCTCAGACTGCATCAGATAAGTGTCCTAGCCTGACCTTATGTAAGACTGGAGAGACAAAAGGGAAAGTATGTTCAAATAAATCAGTTGACATAAAAGCCAGTAATCAGTAAGTGAAGGAGATGTGGTTAAATGCTGGGAGTTTGAATGGTGGATGATGGTGGGAGGAAAAAACAATTAAGTAAGGCACAGAGAAACAAGGAGGACTAAACATAAACAGTGAAACTAAGAAATCAAATCTAATCAAGACAGAGTAATAATAAACATAATTTAACTGAAACAACTAAAAGTGGACTGAACTAAAGTAAAATAGAAACAAGGCTAATCTTGCAAAAATAAGAGGCAATAACAAATGAATCAAACTACAAGTCCAAAAAAATTCAAAACAAACCAAGATCAGTAACATTGTTCACTGATGACAGAAGTTGAATTTAATTACATGTTAAGTTTTTACAGAGCACACACAAATGATAGTCGTGATACGACCGCCAATTGCAGTGATTTACATCGCAGGGTTTTGTTATGCAGGTTCAGCTGTGATGGCTCATCTCCTGATTGGCTACCTGGAGGCTGCAGGAACTACACCCATTGGACCAGAAGGGAACTGCAAGCCACCAGATGTTAATGAGACTCACCTGGTTCTATAAAAGGCTCCTGAAATCATTTCCTCAGGGGGACAGCTTGTAGGAGGAGGTTTTGCTCCACTGTTCCCCACCTTTGATTGTAGTTGTCTTTGACAATTTTGTGAATATTTTGGTTGTTTGTTCTGCTAGAGCAGGTTGACTTTGATTTGGTTGACAACACAAGCCAGACACTTGTATTTAGGAGGCTTGCTGCTCCTTTCGTGTGTTTGTTCTTTTTTTCATTTTCCTTTTGGTTTATTTGAATTGCTATGGACTGATTTGTTTGGGCACTTTGTGATTTACTTCGCACTTACCCTTTTTTTTAATGCTGTCAGCCCTTTCTTTTGTTTTAATTGGATTAAGTGGTATTGTGTCTTGGTTTTGTGAGAACTTTGTTTCTTTTTGTAATAAATCACCTTTTTATTTATCCCTCCTATTCTCTGGACATTTTTTATGTTACCGCCCTGAACCCCTAGACCAATAGGGGTGTAACAGTGCCCTTTTGTTTGCTTTATACATCCTCACAGCATGATGCTGCCACCACTCTGTTTCTCCATGGAGTTGACATAGAGAATCCATACCAAATCTGCGACTTTTGGAGGCAATTATTCTACAAGAGTTTATTGATAAAGGACCTGAACACAAATGCATTACAAATATTAGGAAATTCAATCAGTATAAAACAAATTTCACTTCCAATTTATATTTAAGTGTCTTTCCACATGTGACTTGTGCAGTAGTCTCACTCAAAAAAACAAATCCAATTGAATAAGTGCAATACTGTGGTTTACACGTGACAAAATGTGAAAACATCTGCAAGGCTTTGTGTATATACTTGTGTGCACTTTGGTTCTGTGCAACACACTTGTATATGTGTGTCTCTTCAGAATGAGCCGTGACCATGGCAACACCTCGCCATGAGTACCTTTTCAAAAGCCTTGCCTCTCCTCCTCTCTCTTTTATCCTTCAGCCCATCCTGCTCATTTCACTCCATACCAGCCAGCTGGGAGACTGGCAACAAAGCAAAACAGAAAGACTTCAGTTGCAGGACATTATCCTTATAGATTTCTTTTTTTTTTTTTTTTATGTGCCGGAGTAGCTCGTCTTTTGTCATTCTTTGTGATTTTCCAGGAAGAGGAAATCATCAAAGAAAGAGACTGAGACCTCCTGCTCCAAGATGTAGCTGGTGTTATGGATTCATCAGGTTTTATTTTCCTAATACTTAAAAAACTTGAGAATCTGCCACATTTTTTTTCATTTTTAATCTCTTGAAGTGCATCAGAAGCATCAGAAAAATTATGAATGAAATGAAAAGAAAGTGAAGAACTTAAAGGAGATGCTGGGACAGGAAGTAAACGTGTCATGGATTGCTTGGAAGATTTCTCACTGTGTCCAGCTTGTAACAAAGAATATGACGTTGCTTTGATCTTACCTTGTTCTCATACGATTTGTGGTCACTGCGTGGCAGCAGAAGAAGAAACCAGGTCACATCCTTTGTGTCGCCGTGACCCACGACAGTCAGTCTGCTCGGTGTGGTGCCGATGCTGCAGACAACCTGTAGAGCTGCCGTGTTGGACTTGGTCATCTGCCGCTTCCTGTCTCCCTCAGCATCCCACTCTGAGGTCTGAATATGCAAAATGGGATACAGGCTTCAAAGACAGGTCAGCAAGGTCTCACCACAAACAGGTAAACCATGCGATCTGATCAAGATACTTGTCACAATTAAAGAGATATTGGATGTACAGTAACCATGCGGTATTGAAAAAAAAAATATTTACATAAAATTTTGCCTAAAATTACTGCAACCCTGGATAGATTTCGACTTGAAATTATTTTCATTTAACACAAAAGTTGATTTCTGATTAAAAAATGTGTTCCCTTTCTAAAAAGAATCAATGGAAAATATCTATT